AGTAGGGACAGGGTGTAAATGTAGAAGGTTTTTGAGTTAGTGAGGTTTTGCTGGAGGTTAATTATTTCTCCCCTTTGTGACCAAAATGCTGGGAGGGGAACCTTCGCAGGGAGTAGGATCTGGTGAACAAAGCCACGGATAATGCTGTGGGCACCTTGCATTCTTCAGGGTAGTGTTAATATCTTGGGCTATGCAATACTTTGAATAATGATAATAATACTACATATATGTGGGGGTTTAAATTAACAAAGCAACTATAATAGCATAAACAATAAAATATAATTTTTTTAAAAAGTAAATTAACAAAACAGTTTTAAAGTGAGGGATTAAGATGATACTAAGACAGAATTATTAGCCACATTATTAATTTTTGGCCAGGTTAGTCTAGGCAGCTTGGCTTAGGGGAAGGAGCTGAAGAGGACAGCAGGAGGGGAGCAGCAGGTCTGTGTCATCACTCAGCTGCAGCTGTGGCCCTCCTGTGACAGGGCAGAGAGCAGAGCCAGGATGAGGAGCCAAGGCACACGACAGACAGCTGAGGCTGGGCTATGTGTCCCTCTGCGGTACACATCCCCCCTCTCCATGGTCTCACCCCATGCACCCTTCCTCTCCCCAGCCCTTTAGCACACAGGACATTATTTTGAAAGCATGAGTCAGATCATGTTACTCTTTTGTTTAAAACCTCAGCCCTGGCTGGTGTGACTCAGTGGATTGAGCTGTGGACTGTGAACCAAAGGATTGCTGGTTCAATTCCCAGTCAGGGCACATGCCTGGGTTGCGGGCCAGGTCCCCAGTAGGGGGTGCATGAGAAGTAACCACACATTGATGTTTCTCTCCCTCTCTTTCTCCCTCCTTCCCCTCTCTCTAAAAATAAATAAATAAAATCCTTAAAAAAAATAAAACCTTCCCATTGCACATAGGCACTTGAAAGTTTTGAGTTACCCTTATTTCTTCAGTTTACACCCCACTTCCTCTAAAGAAGAGGGTTTTGGGAGGGGAATATATTAAGTCCTCATTCCCCCCTGGCACTGAAAAGAAGAAAAAAGAAAACTGTGACCTCCTAAATTTTCTCTACATTCAAGCTGGTGCCCTCTGTAAACAGAGATGGATCTAGAGGCCTGGGTTATGTGGAGGTAACACTACTTTCTTGGAAATGTAATGTCTGGGATCATTTAGCTAAACTACCTCACTTTACAGATGAGGAAACTGAGGCACAGAGGAAGCAAGTGACATCTTAAGTGAGAGCCCAGGGTGAACAAGAACTCATGTCTCCTGACTCCTGTTTTTGATGCTCTCGACTGATGGATAGCTCTGCAGGAGAAGGGCATTAAACCTGGCAGACAAGAGTGGTGGGGCCAGGCAGATGGGATGGTGTGGAGGAGGTACCTGGTAGGAAATGGGAAGGCTGTGAAGAGTCAGAATATCTATTACCATTGGCTACGTCCCCAGGACAGACGATGCCCCCAAATGCTCCTTAATGGAGGCATAAACAGTGACACAGACCACATGGATGGATTGACCAAAGGCCATGACATGTCATTTGTGCCTAAGGACTAAGCACCTTTTTTTACCCAGCCTCTTAATCCAGCTCTTTAAGCATGTTCTTTCCTTTTAAGTCATTTGAGACCTTCTCTGCTGTTTCTTTTTTCATTTGGTTTGTGGCTGCAGTTTAGAATCTATCTGCCCACTTGTCTCAGGTTCTAGGCTGAAGGAAAATGGAGATGATGATGATGATGAACTTGAGTAATGTTACTTGCTGGCAGTGTTTTGCTATTCTGAAAAGGACCTTAGAGGGGAAAAAGTTAGCAAATTCATGAGTCAACATCATATTTATCCCTCTGTTATGAGGAATACTGCCTCCACTACTTTTGTGAAGCATAATCATTTGTTAGTCTCAGTAAAACATTTTTCTGCCCACTGATAAGGAAACAAAAAAGGCATTTGCTGTGCTAGTCTCTAGAATGAAATGTAAGCTGTGGTCCTTTGTTTGTTTGTTTGCTCTTAGCTTTCATTTGTGATCACAAGCTTTAGGGTTCCCAGGGCCTTGGAGGACCGCCAGCCTCACCGCCACCTCCTGTGTGGGAGGCCCCTGCCCAGTGTCCCGGTCAGTGGTTCAGACCCCTTCCCTCTGCACCCCCACAGAGAACGGCCTCTGCCTCTGTCAAAACACTTACTTCATTTTGCTTTAAATTACATTTACTTGAGGACTTTTCTTAAGTCTCAGCTGTGATCCCCTGAGGGTAGGAATCCTGTCTCCTTCCTCTTTGATCTCCTACAGCTCCCAACACAGAGCCTGGCTCACTCTCCATAAATATTTGAATGAGTGACAAGGTGTTAACAGCCTCAAGAAGGCAACCACAGTTAGACATTCCTAATAAGCTGGAAACTTCTTCCTGAAAGTGAGGAGAAATATGCCTCACTATGTTCGCTGTGGGGGAGAATGAAAACAGGCAGTAATGACAGAGGGCCAGGTGTCCAGAAGATGTACATGAAGGGTCCTGGAGACGGGCTAGTGCCCTGCTCTTAATGGTTTTCTCGCTTCCCATTTGGCTGAAGGTCTTTCCCAGGACAGAAAAACTCAACAGCCCTAGATAGATCTGGATAAATGCATGTGAGGGGGAGAGTTCCAAGATTCAAACCCAGCTTGGAAGGACAGCTGTATCCGACACTGTCCATACCCCACCCATGTCCACTTTGCCTGCCCTGAGGGTCCTCTGCAGACAGTTTCTCCACATACTGACAGCTTCCTGTATTTCTCTGCCCATGGTCACTCTGATCTGGAGAGTGTGCTTGGCCTGTGTTCAGGTCAGGTTGGAAATGCCAGGGAGTTAATTGAGTAGAGACCTTCAACAGTTAGCAATGGCACTTGGTGCGTAAATACTCCAGAAATCTCACCTGCCAGTTGGACAGCTCAGAAGTGTGTTCTGCACAGTGTTTTAGAGAGTTTCAGGAAGGATGGCTCCCAGTTGCTCAAAGCAGCAGCCCACTCATGAATGCACATCCCGTATTCATCTTTCTCTCTGCCCTCTTTGAATCCCCACTCCCTCGCTGTTTTTCCTGGGATCACACTCAAATACACCATCTACCCCAAATCCTTGTCTCAGGGTCTGCTTTGGGGGACCCCAAACTAAGACAAAGACACAAGCAGGAAATTTGGGGAAATACATGTTATTCCCTTAGAAGAGAGAACTTTTAAAATCAGTACATGCCTTTTTTCCTTTTCTTTCCCTCTAAGTGCAGAGTTGGTTTTTCTGTCAGTTCTATAAACACAGTTTAATTTTAAGTAGAATCTGTGTCCAAACTCAGATAACAGGGCTGATAATGGTTCCCAAATCGCTGAAGGATCGCTATTTCAAATAATAAGTCTCAGTAATGTTCTAGTCTATTAAAGGAAGTGTACTATGTCAGAAAGATCCCAAGCCAGACTAAAGAAAAAGCTTATGCATGGGGGTCATTAGACATCAATATGAATTTGTATTCAAGCATCTCACTGAACTTATTAAAGTTCCACAGAGACCTTTTAAATGAAGAGAGACCTTAACCACCTGGCTCAGGTTTAGGATGGAGTGCTTAGGGGAAAGCTAAGATGAATGGGGACCATGAGGGAAGAAAGAAAGAGAAATAAAGAACCTTCATTAAATTTACCCAGTATTAATGAGCTACTCCTCAGCTAATGGAAACAAGAGAGAATGCAGTTGTTGAAAAATATTTATTATCATTTGAGAGGATTTGTAACAAAAAACAAAGGTGTATAAGCTGCCTGTCACCCACATCCTTCTTTAGACAGTCATTAAGAGTCAAAGAAGCTCTCTGTGAGTGCCACAATATTCCTTGATTGTTTTGACACCTCAGACAATTAATAGGAGGTAGCAGTTAACAATAACCATGCTCACTTAGTTTTATGTTCATGGGGATTTTCTTTGGTCTTGTTCCTTCCTGGAGAGGTTTCTACTAGCCCAGTAGGAAACAGCGTCCATGGTGGTCATGAATTTTAATTGGCAGTCAGTGGTGGGAATGAGTGTGAACAAGACACAAGATGAAAAGAGTCACCAGGGCCAGGAGAGCCCCACAGATGCCTTTTGGGATGAGGTGGGGATTTGGTCCTAAGTCAAGGGGAGATAAGAAAAGGTCCCATTGATCTTATTTTTAGCATGGAAAAGTGTTGTGGCTTCAGGTGTTCTCTTTATTTAAACCCTGACTGATGGCCAATGCCTCAGCTCTTCTGGTGGAGGGAGTGGCATGGGGGCAGCAAAGTCTTTCCATGGTGCTAGGAAGATGCAGAATTATCACATAACATGTGTCCTCTACCCTCTTTGGTGTACATTGCTCCCCTGTTGTAGATGGCAATAATGCCCTAGGCACAGCTCTTTCCTGAGCAAGAGAGGTACTTTGGCCTCCTCCAGCTTTTGCCCTAGTCTGAGCCATTACTTTCAGAAAGTAACTTTTTTAAAAGAATTTATTTAGAGAGCTAGAAAGGGAAGAAGAGAGAGGGAGAGAAATATCAATGTGTGGTTCCCTGTCACACACCCCTTGCTGGGGACCTGGCCTGTAACCCAGCCATGTGCCCTTACTGGGGATTGACAGCTACCCTTTGGTTCGCAGGCCCATGCTCAATCCACTCAGCTACACCAGCCAGGGCAAGAAAGTAACTCTAAGAAATACTATACTGTCCCCATTGGCATGATCTCAAAGATGAGACTGAGGTTTACTAAGGTATTCCATACAAAATGACTGCATTTATGTGCATTAGTTTTTGGCACAAAAACTATGCTGGTCCCCAGAATGAAAAGCAGAGTTATCTTACCTGCTATCTGTGGAAATTTTATCATATACAAAGACTTCCCTTGGGCCAAAAACAGATATGCTAGTGTGGCCTATACCATCCTGTCTCATAATTATTATTTGGGGTAGCTTGCTTTCCCAAATACCTACCACCCCAAAAGTACTCAGTGGATGCCTTTTTAGCCCACCCCACTATGCACTCACTCTGCTTTGCTTTCCAGAATGCCTATGTCAACATCAACCGCATCATGTCCGTGGCTTCTCGCCTCTCTGAGGCTGGTCATTATGCCTCACAGCAAATCAAGCAGATTTCCACACAGCTGGACCAGGAGTGGAAGAGCTTTGCAGCTGCCCTGGATGAACGTAGCACCATCCTCGCCATGTCTGCGGTATTCCACCAGAAGGCTGAGCAGGTGAGGCCAAGGGAGCTGCAGAGGTTGCTATTGGTGGGAAGAGTGGGAGGATATACACTTTGTAGAGAGCTCCTCCTCTCTCTGAAATACTGAAGACCCTGATGAGTAGCTGCAACAATAACCCATGTCTCCCACTTTCATGGCCCCTGTGTACATAAAGAAACATTGGTGGCTTTGTTTATCGTCCAAATAAGAAGAAACCCAGAGTCTATTTACATGCCACTGGATAGTATATTGTTGTGTGTACTTGTGTGCGTTGATTGCCTGCCTAGTTTGTGTTCCCTGAGCTTGGACAAAAGGGGTGAAACTGAACTGATCATAAGACTACTGAGAACAGGGGAAAACTAATATTACATGAAGCATTTGCTATAGGTAATAATAATAATAATAATGTAACAATAACACACTAGCTAGAAGTAACAATTACTGGTTCCCATTTACTTACTGGTACTGGCCAGTGACATCACTAACTCATTTTACAGAGATGAGCACTGAAGTTTGGAGAAAATAAGTGATCTGCCTAAGACCCAGGGGTGTGTTGGAAGAACTCACTCTAACCAGATCATGGAGGTCCAGTTGTTAAAACTGCAGGAATTTTGTGAACTGGTTATTAAGTATAGCATTACTTAAGCTAAATTTACATTAACTATGTTATATTAAAGACAAAGTCAATAAACACTTAAAACTCATTATTTCCCATTTATTTTGCCACATTTCATTATCTAGATTGTTGACGTTATTTTTATCTATATGGAAATTTGTATGTATCTGTGGTGGGAATACTGTGCATTTGTGCTACCAGTCATCTCTTCTTAACTCCACATTTGGTGGTGTCACATTGGGAGCTTGAAATAGACCAAGGTAGGAGTTTTACACCATGGAAATAAGTACACCATACAAACCAAGGCTGGATTTATTGTTTTATTGATTGTCTAGAGTCTTAAAAAATGAAGGAGAAAAAATTTTATAGTGCAGATGAACTTAAAAATGTGTCTTGTTTGTAGCTCTTACATTATGAATGGCACACAGAATTGAGGAAATATTCTTCTGATATTCAGAAACCATTATTCCATTCTGCACAGAAGTCCCTCACATCATGGATGAACAAGTAATGTTCTGACATAAGTCTTGAGGTAGTTTCACTTTTGTCTTATACAAATGTAAGTGAAACTGACTTCCGGCCAAGGTGGAGGTATAGGTAGACACACTATGCCTTTTTGCACAACCAAAAAAAGGACAACAACAAATTTAAAAAACAGAAAATAACCAGAACTGACAGAAAATCAAACTGTATGGAAGTCCAACGACCAAGGAGTTAAAGAAGAAAAATTCATCCAGACTGGTAGGAGGGGCAAAGACGGGCAGCCAGGCAGAGAGGACTTGTTGCCACAAGGTGGCAGCTGGTAGACCAGATGGTCTCACATTTGCGTGCAGAAAAACCAGAAGGAACAACTGGGGAGCAAGACACATTGCACAGCCCAGGGTTCCAGCGCAGGGAAATAAAGCCTCAAAACCTCTAATTGAAAACACCTGTGGGGATTGAGGTGGCAGTGGGAGAGACTCCCAGCCTCACAGGAGAGTTCACTGGAGAGACCCACAGGGTCCTAGAAAGTACACAAAATTACCCACCCAGGAATCAGCACCATAAGGGCTCAATTTGCTTGTGGGTAGTGGGAGAAGTGACTGAAAGCTGGCAGAGAACTGAGCAAGTGCCATTGTTCTCTCTCAGAGCCCTCCTCCACATACAGCACCACAATACAGTGAGGTGGGTTACCCTGCCCTGGTGAATACCTAAAGCTCCTCCCCTTACTATGTAACAGGTGCACCCAGACAAAACAACAACAACAAAAAAATTGCCCAAATGAAAGAACAGATGAAAGCTCCAGGAAAAATACAACCAAGTGACAAAGAGATAGCCAACCTATCAGATGCACAGTTCAAAACTCTGGTAATCATGATGCTCACAGAATTGGTTGAATATGGTTGCAAAATAGAGGAAAAAGTGAAGGCTATGTAAAGTGAAATAAAGGGAACTCTACAGGGAACCAACAGTGAAGGGAAGGAAACCAGGACTCAAGTCAACAGCTTGGACCAGAAGGAAGAAATAAACATTCAACCAGAACAGAATGAAGAAACAAGAATTCAGAAAAAATGAGGAGAGGCTTAGGAACCTCCAGGAAAACTTTACATTCCAGCATTTGAATCATGGATGCCATAAGGAGAAGAAGAGCAAAAAATTGAAAACTTATTTGAAAAAATAATGAAGGAAAACTTTTCCTAATCTGGCGAAGGAAATAGACTTCCAGGAAGTCCAGGAAACTCAGAGAGTCCCAAAAAAGTTGGACCCAAGGAAGCATACACCAAGGCACATCATCATTACATTACCTAAGATGAAAAATAGGGGGAGAATCTTAAAAGCCACAAGAGAAAAGGAGACAGTTACCTACATAGGAGTTCCCATAAGACTATCAGCTGATTTCTCAAAAGAAACTTTACAGGCAAGAAGGGGCTGGAAAGAAGTATTCCAAGTCATGAAAGGCAAGGACCTACATCCAAGATTACTCTATCTTGCAAAGCTATCATTTAGAATGGAAGGGCAGATAAAGTGCTTCCCAGATAAGGTCAAGTTAAAGAAGTTCATCATCACCAAGGCCTTATTATATGAAATGTTAAAGGGACTTATTAAGAAAAAGAAGACCAAAAATATGAATAGTAAAATGGCAACAAACTCACAACTACCAACAACCAAACTTAAAACAAAAACAAAAACAAACTAAGCAAACAACTAGACCAGGAACAGAATCACAGAAATGGAGATCACATGGAGAGTTATCAGTGGGGAAGGGGGAGGGGGAGAATGGGAGACTAGGAACAAGGAGTAAGTAGCATAAATGGTAGGTAGAAAATAGACAGGGGAGGTTAAGAATAGTGTAGGAAACACAGAAGCCAAAGCAGTGACATGTATGACCCATGGACATGAACTAAGGGGTTGGGCGGAATGAGGGCGGGAGGTGATGTGCAGGGTGGATGGGAATAAAGGGGGGGAAATGGGACAACTGTAATAAAATAATCAATTAAATAAATTAAAAAATAAATGTTATTTCCATGAAAAAAATCATAAGTGAAACTATCAATCAGCTTTCATGTCACAACTATGCAAATATGTCACATTCAAAAGCATCCTGTGAGAATCAGTTGGCTACATGGAATTACAATAAAGAGTGTATGTTATTATTCTGTGTAAATTCTGTGCCATGTATCTCTTATGTTAGTAAAGTTTACGGTACACTTGTGTGTGGGTACAGAAAACGCAGTCCAGGACTGAGAATAGCTGGAGGAGTCAAGCTGCTTGCTGATGTTTCCTGACTTAGTTTGGATCAAGAGCAATTTTATTTGTATCTATTTTTAATGTGGTTTCCTCAGATATTACTGCTTCTTCAGGGAAACTCATAACTGTGATTTTATTTAGCTGGGGAAAAAACACACCCAACAATGGATTCAAGGCTATTTTTTCAATGTGTTTATTTAGGCAGCTCTTTATTGTCCTCATGTGGGCTGTTCTAGGCAATGAGATAAAAGGGTATCTAGGCAATTAATTCAATGGAGCTGTGCACCCAGGTGAGAAGAAGCACAGACAAAAACCATTCCAGGCTGTCGGGTGAAAAATTATTTGCATTTTAAAGGTGTGTGTTTCCACCTAATAAATCTGAGTGATTTCAGTTGGCTCACCACTTGTGCACAGAAACCTATAGTCTTCCACAGTTGTTAATTTTCATTTTTAAATAATTTGGTATCTGTCAAGGTCTATATCTATATGTCACATTCCAGGAGCCACTGCCACCATAGGCACAGTACAGTCTGGCCCCCTAAGCTGCCCCTCCCCTCTTCCACCCCTGAGGCTACTGACCCAACAGTAGGTGTCTTCTTGAGGGTCAATCTCCATTCCTTGTGGGAAGTCTCCTCAAGTTTCCTGAGGGGCCTGTATTATATGTTCTTGGCTCCTCTTCACAACTCAATGTATACACTATAATGTACCTGTATGGAAACATTCCATTACATTACGTGTAGCCCCCCATGTGTACCTGTGAGTGTGCACAGGACGAGCAGCTCTAATGTATACATGTAATGTAATGAGCTGTTTGCACACCTGTATTTTATAGTCAATATGTGGATATAAGCTGTTGAATATGCAGATGACTCCCACCCCCAGCAGTTTCATAATAGTCATCTTTGTTTGTGGAAACCACACTTCTTAAACAGGTACTGGGCCTGACTTCTTACATGGAGTTAATATTTGTACAATTAAAGAAAAACTTCCACCCTCTGCAGTGGCCTCTGAAGGTCTCTGCATAAGTTGTCCATTGCCCACCCCCAATGCCCCACACTGACCCAGCTGGCATTTCCTTCCAGTTCCTGTCGGGAGTGGACGCCTGGTGCAAGATGTGCAGTGAAGGTGGCCTGCCATCTGAGATGCAGGACCTGGAGCTGGCAATCCACCACCACCAGTCTTTGTATGAGCAGGTGACTCAGGCCTACACTGAGGTGAGAACTGAGCAGGACACCCAAGGGTACTGAGTGTGTGTATATATGGGTGGGTGGCAAGAACACTGGCCTGTACACTCTGGAAAAGCCCAGGTTGGACTAAGAAGAATAGATGCTATTTTTCTGTCTTTGGAGACTCCTTAAGATCTTGGATCTATGAATGATGGTGTCTCCAGCCTGGAGGCAGAAAAAATAGGGCCATCGGCAGACACCACCTTGGATATGTGTGAAGATTGGACTCTCCTCTCTGGGGAAGGACTGTATAAAAGCAACACTGCTCCTCTGGAGTTTGCTTTCTGGCTGTTATACAGGAGCCTGCCTCCCCTTTGGTGAGGCAGCTCATCACCAGAAGGTCCAGAGGAAAACGCGCCATAAGGTGCACATGAGTGTTTGTAGGAGAAGTTGCCGTGGAAGTAAAAGACAAACTGAAAGATTCTTCCTCTGGAAAACCAAAGCCTGGGGAAATTATTCAAAGTTAAGAGTGGGAAAAAAACTTAAAAAAAATTTTTTTATTGTTGTTCAAGTTCAGTTGTCTCCATGTTCCCCACCACCACTCCCCCCACCCCAGCCATCTCCACTTCCCATCCTTGATCCTACCCCCTTTGGTTTAGGCCCTGTGTCCTTTATACATGTTCCTGAAAACCCCTCCCGCTTTCCCCCTATTACCCCCTCCCACCTCCCCTCTGGTTACTGTCAGTTTGTTCTTAATTTCAATGTCTCTGGTTATATTTTGCTTGCTTGTTTGTTTTGTTTACTAGGTTCCACTTATAGGCGAGATTGTATGGTATGGCGAGATTGCCTTTCACCGCCTGGCTTATTTCACTTAGCATAATGCTCTCCCATCCATGCTATCTCAAAGGTCCTTCTTTCTTTTGCTGCATAGTATATTAAAAGGAAAAGGGCTTATAGGTGCATCTGTGTGGACGTACACAGGTAAGTAGGTTTGCTGACTGGCATGAATTCTGAGGGAGGTGGGCTGAGGGATGTAAAGAGATGGGCTGATTGAGGAAACTGTATGAAGAGAGGAAAGTGAATTCATATTTGGCTCATGGGATCCTTCTGGGGCAAGGTCCGTTAGAGCACTGTCTTCAAAGTGGGTTCCTGGACCATGGGCATCAGACTCACCTGAGGTGCTTGTTAGAGGTCCATATTCCTGGGTTCCCCCCTGGCCTGAATCAGAAAGTCAAAAAGTGGGACATGGAACTCGCATTTTACTAAATATTGAGTCAGATGCATGTTGAAGTCAAAGAACCAGTGGCTTCTGGATGAAACCAAAGGGTTTTGCCACTGTCAAAACTGGATTTGAATCTTGGCTTCCTTGCTAGCTGTGTGATCTCAGGCAAATTTCTTAACCATTGTAAGCCTCAGATTCTTCTTCTGTGAAATAAAGGCATAATGCCTTTCTTTCAGGGGAGTTTTTAAGAGTTATAAAGATAATGTATGTAATGCACCTGGTGCAGTGTGCCTGGTAATAGTAAGTGCTGAAAATGGTAACAGGTTTTGTCATTATAGGAGGCAGAGAGGAAGACTTGTGAGCCAATTTTGATCTCATCAGTTTTGACCCAAATGGCATGAGGCTTTTTCTCTTTTAACAGGACTGTACCTCTGCCCATGGGTCAAGAATCTCTAAATTCACTACTTATTAAATATACAAAAATAGAGTATACAAATGAAATTAATATTGTACTCACATGTTTCACATATTTAGGGTATGAGTGTAATTATAAATATAGATAGACTATTTCTCCCCATGTATTCTCAGGTCCTAGCATTGTGGAACAGAGACCCTCCGAGCCCTCTTCAGAGGTCAGTGGGCTGTCTCTGCCTCCCACAGGTGTGAACTGAGGCCAAGGACGGAACTCACGTGGACTTCGTTTCAGGACTTGGCCCTCCATCTCTGACCACCCTAGACATATCACAGTGTCGAGAGACAGCATTGGGTTAGAATTCCCTGAAGACAGCTCTGCTGGGTTTAGCCATAGGATATTTGTCTTATTCATGTCTCTGGAGGGATGTTATAAGAGGAAGGCAGGGGTAGTGGTGGTCGCCCAAATCGGGTGTACTCCTCCAGCCAGGTTTCCTCTCTCATCTCAGGTGTGCTCCCTGCCAGCCCTCCTCTTAATCAACGCCAGCCCCACAGGCTTTTCTGCAGCTGCATGAGCAGGAGGAGCTACAGTTGCCTCTTTGCTCCTGACCCCTCACCCACGCTATTATCTGGTGTGAAGGTGGGGTGCGGGGAGGCTGCAAGCCCAACCCACAGCTTCCCATTTGTTGTCACAAGGCTGGAGGTGGGAGCACGTCTCCTTCCACACCTTGCTGACAGGAAAAGACCATTCCACTGCAAACCCACTTTGATTTTATTGTTAACCAAATTAACTTGGGGTTTTAAAATTCCTATCAATCCTCTGTTCACCACTGTATTAAATTAGAAAGATAATACCAAGCACTGGAGAGCCACAGGTGTCAATCATATGATGCCAATTTCCAGAATTCATGGTGCCCATAATTATGCCAGGATTCCAATGAGGAATGACAGAGAGTGAGTGTTGGGTAACCCAGGAGCTGTATGGTGTGTCCACAATCTTAGGGTCCTTCCTTTACTCTGCATATTCTGAAAAGATGGGGATAGGACCACTTTCAGAAAGGAAAAAAGGTTGTATAGAAGGAGAGCAAAAGAAGGGTCAGTACAGAAGAAAATGACAAGGAAATAAAGACGACAGGAGAGAGAAATGGTGCTGCTGATGAAGATAGAATTGGTAGCCAATGCAGTGTGCTGGGCTCCAGTGTAAGTGCCCTGTGTGTGTTAACTCATCTAACCCTTACCACAACCCTGAGGTGTGTGCCATGACTATCCCTGCAAGTTCCTTACACAAGGAAACCGAGACCCAAAGATGGTAGATACCTTGTCTCTGATCACACATCTAGAAGTTTGGAGCCAGGTAGAGGAAGGTGAAGAAGAGAAGTTCTGTTGCCTGACCTAGCAGAGAGCCAACCAAAATATAGGTCAGGAACTATGTGCCAGGCACTGTTCCAGATGTTCCAGAGACAGGCAGAGTCCCTGCCCGCATGGAGCTAAAATTCAAGGGGGAGAGACACTGATTCAAGAGTGTCACAGACACCTGGGTGCTGCCCCGGCAGCTCCTCTGCCCCAGGATTCTGGGGTGCTCTGGCCTCCCATGCACTATGGGCTGGGCATCATGGCAGCTCTGGCTGACCCATTCGTTGGTTGTCATGGGTCTGGTTAGGACTGCAATCCTTGGTCCTAGTCCAGAACCCCAGGCAGACCCTCGTATCCTTCCTGTGCCCTGTCTGCCACTGCATGCCCCTGGTGTGACCCTCTTCCCTTCCTGCAGGTCAGCCAGGATGGCAAAGCCCTGCTGGACGTGCTTCAGCGTCCCCTGAGTCCTGGGAACTCTGAGTCCCTCACAGCCACAGCCAACTACTCCAAGGCAGTGCACCAGGTACTGGACGTGGTACATGAGGTGCTGCACCATCAGCGGCGACTCGAGAGCATCTGGCAGCACCGCAAGGTGCGGCTCCACCAGCGGCTGCAGCTCTGTGTTTTCCAGCAGGACGTCCAGCAGGTAACAGGCCCCATACCCAGCATCCATCCCAGGCAGGCAGACGGCTGAGCCCCTGACCTGGCTGATCAGGCCTGAGGTCACCTGATTTAGGAAAAGAGGGCAATTCAGCCTCCCAACTGCATGCCCCTCCCCAGGAAAACCATCTGGACTTGTTAGTTGCACCCCTCTTACCTAAGCAGCTCAATAGACAGGGCTTTCTCACCCTGTGGTTTTGAGAAGGGAGACTCAGCCTGAGGAATAGCAATTCCATGCAGTCATATGACATAACTGTCTTTGGGGAGAGCTTGACCCTCACTCATGAGCTTTCTGCATGATTCAAGGGCCTGTGGGTTATCCGAGCACTGTCTGGGTTGGACTTCACATAACATGACTTCGTTTCTTCGTCAGGCATGCAGGTGGCCTGTTAGAGTGGGGTTTGGGGTGAGATACAGGGCCTTTAGGGGGTTGTTTGGCAAGATTGGACTTGGGAAATCAGATGTAAAACATGAGTTGTTGATGACTCTATGTCCCATAATCAGAGGTTATTTCTGGCTTCATCTGTCTTTTTTGCATTATTATACCAGTTGTGGCTTTTTTTAACCACAAATAATAAAGATATGGTTATGTTTTTGACTTTAAAAGGATAGTCTTGCCACAAATGCCCTATTGGATGAAATAACCCGTTCTTCTTCTCTCATACTTTGTCTCCTTGGGGATTTCTGGGGGCTTTGCTCTGGGGACAGGAATGTTCGGGGAGGGAGAGCTGGTCGGGAGCGGAGGAGTGAGGTGGAGGCTTCGCGTCTCCTGCCTGCTGGTCCACTGTCAGGGGTGGGGTGGGGGCACTCATGTTATTAGACTTTTCTGTAACCACCACATAATTTCAAAATTATACAGATAAAATGACGTTGCCCTCCCCTTCTGTGGTGTTGACCAGGTGTAATCCAAAAGGGTATCAAAATACCCTTCAAAAAGGGTATGCAAGGTAGGGCAAAAGTTTACAGCTGTGAATCCACAAAATACAGAGTTCATTCTTGTATTATTACTTACTAATTATTGTGTTATTTTCCATATGAACAACTGTAAACCTACTTTTGCCCCACCCTGCACATGGAAAATTGAGAGCCAGCTGGCCATGTCTCTGGAGTGCTGATTCCCTTCACAGCTGTTGTTGGGAGGGGCCCTGGTGGTGGGTGCCCTGAGGAGGAGGCAGGGTGAAGGGAGAGCAGGGCTCCTATCCCTGGCTGTGACGCCCTCTGGCCGCAGAGCTGCTGTGCAGCGAGTCCCAGGAATAAACGGGCTGCCTGGAGTGTCCCCGTTCCTGGGCTGTGCTAACCTCCTTGCAGTCCCCCTTCTTTAACTGGGGCAGTGATTGAGTCATTAGAGGCAATGCCTCAGCCTCAGGACAGACGGCACTGCCGAAGTGCAGTCCCAGCTCAGAAACCCTTGTGAGGCCTGCTGGGAATGGAGAAGCAAATGAGTCTGTTGCCTGCTTCTGCCATCTGGAGCTGTCCAGAGAAATACATCACCCCTGAGCGCAGGAGAGCACAGGGTCTGCCTGTGGTTGAGGCGGAGGGAGGCGCTAGCCTCCGAAGGCTCACAGAGTGGGCGTTACTATTCAGTGAACTCCAACGGACTCTGGGAGATTATCTGGTCTGTGGATTGTGTAGTTTTCTTGCTGTGCTCATTGGTCTCCTTCTGTTTGCATGGCTGTTGTGTTGGGATGGGCCTGGAAAGGGGCAGAGGGCTGCGAGGAGGGTAAGCAAAAGGCCTCCCCAGCCGCAGGGTGGTGTCCAGACTTGGACTGTGTGGGAACTGTTAATGTGTCCTGTGGCCACTGTGAGATCTACACTAAAGCTAGGAAGAAGGGTAATAAAACTACATCTGTGTTTATTCTATATCAGACTCTGAAAAATGAGAGCATTTCTGGAAATGAAACTCCATTAATTTATCTCTACTGTACAAATTGAATTGCTGGCGTTGAGGAAGAGCAAGCAGATTATGATGTGGCTGTGGTGGGGGTTTGGATGTCCCGTGAGACTGAATTCCCCGAGATGCTTAATTCCATCGTCCTTTTCAGGTTCTGTGAATGTGAGTTCTGGGGACATCACTTCATTCACCCATTGTCCCACTCCCTCTCTGTCTCAACATGTTTGACAGTGGGACAGATGCATGAAGAAAAGTGTGGAAAACAAGGGCTACCAAACCTGGTGATGATTTCGAAGGCTTGCGCGACCCCCAGACAACCATTAGCGCCCAACAGGCGTCTGAGCTGGTGTTGCAGAAGGGTGCTGGGCATGCACACCTGATGGTCAAAGGGAAGGACTTGGACTTTCATTCCTAACTCCCAGAAATGTTACATATTTATCATTTTAAATATATTTTATATACTTATTATATACATTTTATATACTGATCGATTTTTCATGTTTTATCTCCTTTCCTCCAGTATTTTCTTGAGAGTAGGAACCATGGCTTCTGCTTGTCTGTGCCCTTGCAGCTCTTAGCTGTGTCTGGCATGAAGCTGAGGTTCTCTTCACTTTTGTTTATGTTAGCTGAAATTATCATCGGAGTACCCCAGTTTCTGCTTCTGTGAAATGACATCATTTAACCCTCCCTTCAAACACACTTAGGGGTTGCCAGTGAATAGCCACAGTCTGCCTGCAGGAATTGTGATGTGAAAACATTAAGGACCCCGGATGTTACAGCCCAGACGGAGGGCACAGAAACACACTCTTGGTGTTTACAGAGTGTCCTGGTACTCCTCGGTTACTCAGCAATCTTGAGTCTCTGCAGCTGGCCCAGTACTTTGCTAGGTTCTGGCACAATCCCTGGTTAGGTAGAATGACATAGGACAAGCACATTTGCAAGGAAAGGGCTGTTCTATGAGAGCATGGCGGGCAATAGAGTATTGATGGAATAGTTATAGGCAGAGATAGGAGAAGTCAGAGTTGCTGTCTTTTAAAAAATATTTTTTATTTTTAGACAGAGGGGAAGGGAGGGAGAAAGAGAGGGAGAGAAACATCAATATGTGGTTGCCTCTCCTGTGCCCCCTGCTGGGGACCCGGCCTACAACCCAGGCATGTGCCCAGACTGGGAATCAAACCAGCCACTCCTTGGTTCACAGGCTGGTGCTCAATCCACTGAGACACACCAGCCAAGGCAGAGTTGGTGTGTTGAAGGAGAGAATTGATTTGAACAATTTTAGTCTGGATCTGAAACTCCTGAGCACATTTGGGGCCCACAGATGTTGTACTCTGCAGCCTACGTGGAAAGCTTGTGAGCAGGATCAGTGGCTGGGGCCGTAGAGAATCACAGATTATTAGTTACTGAGCATGTAACTAATGCTCTGGAGCATTAGTTAGGCTCTGGAGGCAGAAAGCCTGGGTTGCAATCCTGCTCTGACAGATCTTGGCTGTGTGACATTAAGCAAGTTGCTTCACCTCTAAAATAGGAACAATCATAGTATCTATTTCATCAGACTGAATGGTATACAAGTACAGGGCTTAGCACAGTGCCTGCCTTGCAGGTAGTAAATCCTCCCTTGGTATTTTCTGGATTGTTGGTCACATCCTCTTTGAGTGGTGTTTGGGCGCCCCCTGGTGCCTGTGCTGTCAGGCCCTCAGCATGATTCTCCTCTTTATAGAAGAGCCACTGTTTCATGGGTCTGCTGAGCTCCATTTCATTCAGTGATAGTCTCAGAGCTGTCAGGACCTGAAAGAGCATCCAGTCTAACCTATTCTGTGGTTGAAGAAATTGAGGCCCAGAGATGTAAAGTAACTTGGCCATAACCACATAGGCAGTAGGCAACAGTGCTAGGACCAGGAGCTAGGTGTCCTGGCTCCCAGGCTAGATCTACTACGGAAAAGCCACAGGAGAAAGGAGCAAAGGAGACAGAGAAGGAGAACTGGAAGAAAGATGGGATGCACACATGCATAATGTAGAGGGAAGAATGACTGACAGACAGACACATCCACACGCCCCGAAGCAAGGAGGGAGAGGGACAGACAGAGACAAGCAACAGAGGAAGAGAAAGAAAGGGGGAGAGAAATTTAGAGACAGCAGAGAAACAGACACACATGGGATGGGAGGAGAAAGAGAACAGGAAAGTGAGGGGGGAGACAGAAGGGAAAGAGACAGTGGTTGTCTGACTCCTTGCCCCATTGCCATTTCAGGGTGTGGGTGGTCTTTGCTCAGATACAAACCATTTGCCCTTTAAGGACCCAAAGCAGAGTAAAAGCAGAGAAATGAAAATGAAAGATAGATGCCAGTGATCATGAGATTCCATTTAAACAAACACCTGCAGCCAGAATTAGCCTGACACATCATCTCTGGGGTAGCCCTCCCGTGAGTCCCAACAGGGGTAGTCAGCTTTGTCTTCCCTGCTGGGCTCGGGGACAGTGGAAATAAATCTCTAAGGACCACTCCGAAACTCAGGTTCATTAAGCTGCAGAAAGGCATGAATAGGACACACCTGCCGTAGTACTACTAGTGGAATAATTTTCAATACTGATGTTTTTCTGGTTTTAAATGGGATAGTACTGAGCCACAGCCCAAAGTGCATTCCATGATCTCCATCTTCTGTCTCTTGTTTTCCCCTAATTCCCGTAGTTTCCCATAGATGTAAAGAACTACTTCCAAGCCCAGATAGACCTGACTGTGTAGAGAAGAGCAAGGGGTAGCTAGATTTTTTTTTATCTTTCTGGTAGATGCAAACTCTATTCCATTATTTCATAGCCAGAGCAACCATGTTAAGCACTCTCTGAGGGCCACCTTGTTCTTCTGCCCCTTTTTCTTCTTCTCTCTCTGTTTTGTGCAAGAATAAATCGAAGTGTGTAGGAACAGCTGCTCTGTGCAAGGTTCTGTGCTAGGAGTTGGAGATTTCTGGCCTGAGAGAAGACGTATACACCCAGGGACATGTGAATGGCACACAGCCATATAGGTTCAGCGCCAAAGAAGCTAAACAATGGTGGCCAGGTGGAGTCAAAGCAGGGGAAGTTCCCTGAGCTTGGGGCTAGATTTTC